AAATGAATGATGGAACCTAAAAACGAAAAACGCGATGAAAGGAAGGATGGAAGGAAGGAAGGAACGAAGACTGGGGGGAAGGACAATATGAAAATGTAGGTGTAACATGTGGGTGGAATTTTGGAGACAAATATTATTTGGGTAGTAGGGGAAGTGTTATATACTAAAACGACGGATTAGATGAAACAAACAAAGAATAAAGAAAATTGACTGATGAAGACAGGAAGGAAGTTGTTGAAAAGAGAAAGAAAGATGGCCGAGAAAGAAACAAAGAAAGAAAGTAAGAAACGAACAAAAAAAGATTTTTTTAAAAATTGACTGATAAAGATAAGAAGGAAGTTGTTGAAAAGAGAAAGAAAGATGGCCGAGAAAGAAAGAAAGAAAGAAAGAAAGAAAGAAAGAAAGAAAGAAAGAAAGAAAGTCAGAAACGAACAAAAAAGGTTTTACAAAACTGACTGATAAGGATAAGAAGGAAGTGGTTGAAAAGAGAAAGAAAGATGGCCGAGAAATAAACAGAGAAAGAAAGTAAGAAATGAACAAAAAAGATTTTAAAAAATTGATCGATAAAAATAAGAAGGAAGTTGTTCAAAAGAGAAAGAAAGATAGCCGAGAAAGAAACAAAGAAAGAAAGTAAGAAACGAACAAAAAAAGATTTTTTTAAAATTGACTGATAAAGATAAGAAGAAAGTTGTTCAAAAGAGAAAAAAAAGATGGCCGAGAAAGAAACAAAGAAAAAAAGTAAGAAACGAACAAAAAAGATTTTTTTAAAATTGACTGATAAAGATAAGGAAGTTGTTCAAAAGAGAAAGAAAGATGGCTGAGAAATAAACAAAGAAAGAAAGTAAGAAACGAACAAAAAAAGATTTTTTTAAAAATTGACTGATAAAGATAAGGAAGTTGTTCAAAAGAGAAAGAAAGATGGCCGAGAAATAAACAAAGAAAGAAATTAAGAAACGAACAAAAATGATTTTTAAAAATTGACCGATAAAAATAAGAAGGAAGTTGTTCAAAAGGGAAAGAAAGATGACCAAGAAAGAAAGAGTAAAAGAATTAAGCCGACTTATAAATAAAAGAAAGAAGTTGTCAAAGAAAGAAAGAAAACAGATGATTGAGAAAGAAGGAAAGTAAAAAACAAAGTGTAAAAAAAAAATGACTGATGAAGAAAAGAAGGAAGTCGTTGAAAAGAGTAAAAAGAGGTCTGAGAAAGAAAATAGAAAGAAACAAAGAAAGTAAGAAAAAAATAAAGAGTAAAAAAAGAACTGACTGATAAAGAAAAGAAAAAAGTCGTTGTAAAGAGAAAGATGTCCGAGAAAGAAAACAAATAAAGAAACAGAGAAAGAAAAAGAAAGAATCAAAGAAACAAAGAAAGAATAAAAAATCATGGCCCATAAAAAAAAGAAATCATTGAAAAGAGGAAAAAAAGATGACTGAGAAAGACAGAAACGAAGTAAAAAAGAAACAAAGTAAGACTGATAAAGAAGGAAGTCGTTGAAAATAGAAAGAAAGAAAGAAAGAAAGAAAGAAAGAAAGAAAGAAAGAAAGAAAGAAAGAAAGAAAGAAGAGGAAAACATAGGACAGGAAAAGAAAGAAAGAAAGAAAGAAAGAAAGAAAGAAAGAAAGAAAGAAAGAAAGAAGAGGAAAACATAGGACAGGAAAAGAAAGAAAGAAAGAAAGAAAGAAAGAAAGAAAGAAAGAAAGAAAGAAAGAAAGAAGAGGAAAACATAGGACAGGAAAAGAAAGAAAGAAAGAAAGAAAGAAAGAAAGAAAGAAAGAAAGAAAGAAAGAAAGAAAGAAGAGGAAAACATAGGACAGGAAAAGAAAGAAAGAAAAAAAGAAAGAAAGAAAGAAATAAAGAAAGAAACAAATAAAGGAAGAGTAAAAGAAGTAAGATGACTTTTTAAAAAAAGAAAGAAGTTGTCAAAGAAAGGATGAAGAAAGAAAACCGATGATTGAGAAAGAAGAAAAGAAAGACTTCAAAGATAGAAAAAGGGTTAACTGATCAAGAAAAGAAGACATTTTCAACGAAAAGAAAAAGAAAGAAAGAAACAGCCAGACAGAAAATGACCATATGAGAAAGAAAGAAAGAAAGAAAGAATTATTATGAAAAAGAAGAAATAAGAGAAGAGAGATAAAAAAAATAGTAATAAAGACAGAAAGAATGAAAGAGAAGGAAGAAAGGAGAAGAAGAAAATCAATGAAGAAATAAGAAAGTTTGACTGTTAAAGATAAGAAGAAAGTTGTTCAAAAGAGAAAAAAAAGATGGCCGAGAAATAAACAAAGAAAGAAATAAGAAATTAATGTAATTAACTTCATCAATTCAAGTTTAATCATTCGACGACTACGCCCCCCAGCTTTCTCTGTTATCGTTATTTCATAATTCTTCCATGGACACTTGGTGTAATGGTTAACAAGCTTGTCTCTCTAGATCAGTGGTTTTCAACCAGGGTTCCGCGGAACCCTAGCCTTCCGCCAGTAAAGCCCCAAGGGTTCCGCAAGAAGTTACACAAGTACTATGATTGACAGTAATTTTTAATTCTCCTGTGCAGATATGTGTGTTTAGGTACCTCCACTAAATCAATAACAAAACAACATAGTATGAATAAAAAAAAAAGATCCCAAACTTAATAAAGCAAATACAATATTTTTACAGTTTGTCTTTGTATTTTTTTGTAAATAAATCTAAAGATGAGTATTTATTATTAGGTTGGTGCAAAAATAATGTCGTTTTTTTTACGTTGTTGAACGTCAAAAACGACATTATTTTTGCACCAACCTAATATTTTATTTTAATAATTGAAACCTTTCTTTAGCATAAGCCAATTAATTCATTGCAGGGGCTCCTCGAGCCACTGGAATGTTTCCTTGTGGTTCCGCTCTAGCAAAAAGGTTGAAAATCACTGAACTAGATCAATTATCAATCCTATGATTAATTGGGGTGATTTTATTGTTTCTTTTACAGCCAATCCGCTTCCCAAACATCCAAAGTTAATTTAATATCTAAACAGATTTCTTTTTTCGCCTTTTTGTTTCATATCATTTCTGGCATTTATTTAGCGAATATGAATTAAAACTTTTTCGTTTTCACTCAGGAATTCGACGAACAAATCTTTCAAAAGATACATTGTCAAACACCTGCCGGTATGCAAAGTATTTTTTTAATTTAAAATGTCCGGCAGCAATATCTCTACTCAAAGTGCAGGCTCTGATGAGCATAGAACCCTTCTTAATTGTTCATAGGTACCCCATAACCCAGGGTGGTAACACCTATAAGGGTCCCAGCTATGGGCAAAGAATGATCCTCCACAAACAAAACACTATGTACGTACATCTGTTTATATCTCTGCGATGATTACTTACATTATTTATATTATTCGGAGTGTTATCCTCGTCTTCATTGACATACTTACAACGTTTCGGTCATTGTAGCCTTCGGCTTTCTTCAGGTGATTGGATCTCTGAGATGAGGTATTATGATTACTTGCCTTATTTACATTATTCGGACTGTTATCCTCATCTTCATTGCCATATTCACCACGTTTCGGCCGTTGTATGCTCCGGCCTTTATGTCTATGTCTCTCTATATATCTGTCTATATCTCTGAGATGGGGTATTATAATTACTTGCATTATTTACATTATTCGGACTGTTATCCTCATCTTCATTGACATATTTACGTTTCGGCCGTTTTCTTCTGGTGATTGGAATTTTGAATCGAACCCTTTATCTCGTCTACCAGGCTAGATAGTTCTAGTTCCACCTGCCATACCTCTTTCGGGTGTCTCAGTTATTTCCCTTTAACTCAAGTCTCAAATTTTGGTTTGACACTGCTGTGGCCTGATATTGAAATCACAACTCTTTGGGTCTAGTCACCGGATCTAATCAACGTCTTTATCCACTGAGCCATTTATTCTTGAGAACCCATAAAATAATAAAAATACATTTTTTATAGTAAAAACACAAGCAATATATTTTTATATCAGGCCATCCCATAAGTTCTGTCCGATTTTTAACTTTTTATTAAATGAACGAAATTTAAAGAGTATTTTATAATGTCTAATGAAGCTGAAAATTATTTTTATGCTTAGATGCATTTAAACTGATCAAATTTTATTTCAGAGAACAATAAAAATAAAAATTTTGTTTGATTAAAACCCTGCTAACATGGAAGTACCCAAGAATCATTTGAGGCACATAATGCTTTATGAGTTCAAGAAAGGAAACTCAGCAGCCGAAGCGGCTAGAAACATTCACTCAGTTTATGCAGAGGAATATGGGAATGAAAGAACTTGCAGAAGATGGTTTGCAAAATGGAGATTTCGCCCTTGAAGATGAAGATCGAACCGGATGTCCAGTTTAGTTCGATGAAAAGCTTCTTGAAGCAGCCCTTGAAGAAAATCCTGCTTTATCAGATGAGGAATTGGTAGTGGTTCTCAGTTCAAACCATACAACTGTTCATCGTCATCTTCAACAACTAGGAAAAGTTCCTAAACTTGGAAAATGGGTGCCCCATGAATTGTCTGAAAACAACCTCAAATCCCGAGTTGACATCTTCTCTTCTCTCCATTCTCGCCAACTTGTTTCATCTTTTTTGGATAGACTTGTGACTGGCGACGAAAAATGAGTCTTTTATCGAAATGTTAAGCGTCGTAGACAGTGGCTTGGTAAAGAGGAAGGACCCCAGCCACAGCCGAAAAGGGAACTTCATGGGCAAAAGGTTCTTCTTTCAATCTGGTGGGATCGCCAAGGCATAATCCACTTTGAATTCTTACCACCTAATGCAACAATTAATGCTCAAATATACAGTCAGAAATTAGAACGTTTGAACCAAGCTTTGAGGAAAAACAGACCTGCTCTAATGAATCGAAAAGAGATGATGTTTCATCAGGACAATGCGCGACCCCACACAAGAATCACGTCACAAAAGATCGAAGAACTTGGTTGGGAGAAAATTCCTCATCCACCTTATTCTCCCGATCTTGCTCCTTCAGACTACCATTTGTTTCGTAGCTTACAGAATCATTTGGAAGAAACAGCTTTTGTAACACAGGAAGAGGTTAAAACTGACATTTGTGAGTTCTTCTAATCAAAGTCAAAAGAATTTGACAGTAATGGAATTAGTAAGCTTGTTAAGAGATGGAAGGAAGTCATAGATAATCGGGGAAAGTACATTGTTGATTGAATCTGTAAATTTGGTCATTTGTTTTCTTTATTCAAAATTCGGATAGAACTTATGGGATGACGTGATAGAATAAAATTACCAACAATACCTATTGATAGTAAAATTACCAGCAATGCATTTTACCTGCATACTAATTGCGTTCAAAATATTTAGATTTTGCAATTAAATAACCCATAGAGTTGTTCATATGCCGCTAATCAAAATCAATCAATCAACCAACCAAAATGAAAGAACTCTTTCATGGCATTAATCCATATGACATTCTACAAATTCTTAAAGAAATCGAACTGTATTCCAAAATATAACTTCAACAAAACTACAAAATAAAACACGTATTATCACTGCCTCCAGTAATCATGTCCATACAAACACGTATGTACACAAAAGCTGAGTATTATCTACCATGCATTCAATTGCGAAAGCAAAATAACATATATTTTTTTTACTTGCATGGAGTATTGCTGCCATATATGGTCTGGGGCACCTTCTGTTTACCTCGGAGTTCTTGACAAGATCCAGAAACGGATATGTAATATAACTGGCCCTGATCTGGCATCTCGTCAACAGTTGCTCTCTCACAGACGCGCCGTCGCCTCTCTCTGTCTTTTCTACATATACTTATATGAGCTGCATTCAATGGTTCCCAGACTCCATGAATTCAAGCGCCCTACGAGGCTGGAATTCCGCTCCCAGCCCTACACTGTAGAAACTTTTAAATGTAACCGTCTCCAGTAGCTTCATACCTCGCACCTCTCGCCCGTTGAACACCCTTCCCAATTACTGTTTCCCTGAGAGCTATAATCTCCAACTATTCAAATGTAATGTCAATCGACATCTCCAGTTACCTTGATCTACCCACTATCCTTCTCCTCATCCTTTCTTCTATCACTCCTATCTGCTCTTGCTCCAAATCTTCTGCAACCCGCTGCATCCTGGTGGCTTCACGCCTTGCTCGGGGCGTAATGCTTAAAAAAAAAAATTCAAAGCTCGCAAGAAAATTAAATGTCGGTATTAAATGATACATGGCGAGTTGAAATGCTGTTAAACAAACATAATTTATGTCGTTTAAATATATTAAAAAATAAAAAAAGTTCGCCGTGTCTTCTAAGATTGTTGAAAAGTTCTCAGCCTGACCATCATCATCATTATCATCGTTGTTTCGACTTGAAGGCACATTGTTCATCGATGCGATTTCAAATCCTCAGCCTGGTTTCACGTTTCCAAGCATGCCCATCTTGACAGGCCCAGTTGTACTTCCTCATCACGCACAGAGCCAACCTGTAGTTTATAGTAATTTACAAAGCATGGATTAGATGCGGCACATGACGAAAGTATGGAACATCCCGTAAGGATCGAACTCAATTCTCAATCGTAATTAGTCTTGTAAACCTTTACATCACGTCAAAGGCCCCCCCACCAATGATTTACTAACCATGGTTTAGTTGTGGCACAGTGCTAAGATTAAGAGGGTTTGAACTTACTACTCAAGTCGTCTGATTTGATTTGATTTACGACGTATCAACCTCAATGGGTTATTTAATGTTGGGAATTTTTTTTCCAAAATCTATTGTTGGTAATAATGTATTGCTGGTAATAACTTTACAAAAATGTATTGCCTATTTTTACACTTTCATAGTGTTTTGACCCTATTTTGGGGGTTAGGTCTTTGTCCATAGATGCGACTCTAGCGGGTACTACCACCCCGGTCCACGGTGAACCTGGGAACACCAGCAATTAAAAGGTGGTCACACGCTCCTCAAAACCTCCCGATCTAAGGTCTTGTCGCCAAATGTAGTTTATCGTCATACCCGGGACGCGGATGTAGTTTATCGTCCTACCCGGGACGCGGATGTAGTGCATCGTCATACCCGGGACGCGGATGTGGTGTATCGTCATACCCGGGACACGGATGTAGTTTACCGTCATACCCAGGACGCGGATGTAGTTTATCGTCATACCCGGGACGCGGATGTATTGTATCGTCATACCCGGGACACGGATGTAGTATATCGTCATACCCGGGACGCGGATGTAGTGTATCGTCATACCCGGGACCCGGATGTAGTGTATCGTCATACCCGGGACGCGGGTGTAGTTTATCGTCATACCCAGGACGCCCTATTGGAGGGGGGAGGGTTTTATAACTCTGCAGAGATGCAGCAGACGTATTGTGAAGACCCCAGACGACAGGGCGGACAAGTCATAACTGACCTAGCAAGACAAGATTGATAACATTACACCACGGCGAAGTACACGAAAATGCTTTTTCTAAGCGTAAATCAGATGTGGCAGAAGGCTGAAAGTGTTGAAAACCCATTTGTTGTATGGACCCCACCCCCTAGTAGAGTGGCCTTGGTGGACGGCGTCGATTCACTCATGTGTTGTATATTCCCTCTCTTGTTTTTCTCCCGGCCGGTGATCTCTACTTGTTTTGTTCAAAGATGAAAGCATTTCAATAAAGATAATTTGAAACTTGTTTGACGATTAAGAATCGATTCATTGAAAAACCTTTCTATGTTGCTATCATTCCTACGCTTGCTCAGCCCATCAAAATCGACTTCCTTTGTTTTGTCTTGTATCTTGTCCCAAAGGTCAACCCAAGGAAGTTGGATCAGTGATAAACTTCCTATAAATAAAATTCTGCTAAACTATTATTTAACACCAGTGAGGATCGAACACATTACGTAATCGTAATTGATCTAACGAGACAAGCTTGCTAACGATTACATCAAGTAGAGGTGCCCGGGAATGATTTTCTAAATCTAGCTAAGATGTACAAGGTGGAGTTCGTGGAGTGTCTGCTTTGTTGTTCATACTGCAACTATGCTGAGCAGACCTAGGAGAGAACGTATAATCTGGCGTGATTCATTTTTCGAATGAGGCGCTTACGGTCCAAACCATCGGTGGCGAGCACAACCTTCGATGGTCTCTGAAACCTTTCCATCTACGAAATTCTACGTACAACGCTTGGGTCAACCCGTGATATAGTTTCCCGGCACTTTTTAAAGGCGCCGCATGCTGGTTTCACCCCTCCACGCCGATAAAATAAGAAAGTCATAACCCTAACATGTGAAAAGGGTAAAGGGGAAACGCCAGGAGATTAGCTAATTTTGATAATCCGTGGTTACTGATGCAGGGTTAAAGCTGAAACCTATCTTGATGGATTGCAAGAATGATTGCTTATTTTTGGCGAGTGACTATTGCTTTAAGAATTTTGGGGAGATGACAATGATTATTTCATCTACATATCCTGATATTTAACATAGCTGGAGTGAAAAGAGATGGATCCATACAGTTCTCCAAGGGTACTCGAGCGTAAGTGAACTTGACTGGAACTCGAACTCGACTCCCCGAGAGATCATTCCGAGCAGCTATCCATTAAACCACCGCAAATTCCATACGAGGGGATAGATAGATAGATAGATAGATAGATAGATAGATAGATAGATAATGAAGAGACTGAGATAGATAGATAGATAGATAGATAGATAGATAGATAGATAGATGAATGATAGATAATGAAGAGACTGAGATAGATAGATAGATAGATAGATAGATAGATAGATAGATAGATAAAGAACAGACTGAGATAGATAGATAGATAGATAGATAGATAGATAGATAGATAGATAAAGAACAGACTGAGATAGATAGATAGATAGATAGATAGATAAAGAACAGATGAGATAGATAAAGATACATGAATGGATAGATAGATAGATAGATAGATAGATAGATAGATAGATAGATAAAGAACAGACTGAGATAGATAGATAGATAGATAGATAGATAGATAGATAGATAGATAGATAGATAGATAAAGAACAGACTGAGATAGATAGATAGATAGATAGATAGATAGATAGATAGATAGATAGATAGATAGATAGATAGATAGATATCAACAGATGGATATACAGAGATATGTGAACAGACTGATATATATATATGTATATATATATATGTGTATATATATATATATATATATATATAGAGAGAGAGAGAGAGAGAGAGAGAGAAGGAGTAAGAGAGGGAAAGACAGGACAAAGATGAACATAGTTATATATGAGATATATATGACTAAGATAGATATTGAAATATTGATATATATATATATATATATATATAGAGAGAGAGAGAGAGAGAGAAAGAAAGAAAAAATGGGAGAGAAATGAGAGCAAAAGGTGAATAGACTGCGATAGATAGATAGATAGATAGATAGATAGATAGATAGATAGAAACGGACTGAGATAGATAGATAGATAGATAGATAGATAGATAGATAGATAGATAGAAACGGACTGAAATAGATAAATAGATAGTAGATAAATAATGAAGACATAGATAGATAGATAGATAGATAGATAGATAGATAGATAGATAGATATTAACAGATGGTTACAGAGAGAGAGAGATGTGAACAGACTGAGATAGATAGATAGATAGATAGATAGATAGATAGATAGATAGATAGATAGATATGAACAGACTGTAATAGATAGATAGATAGATAGATAGTAAGAGAGGGTAAGACAGGGCAAAAGATGAACAGATTGTTATATATGACTAAGAAAGACAGAGGAATGAGAGAGAAAGGTGAATAGATAGATCGATCGATCGATAGATAGATAGATAGATAGATAGATAGATAGATAGATAGATAGATAGAAACGAACTGAAATAGATAAATAGATAGTAGATAAATAGTAGATAAATAATGAATAGATAGATAGATAGATAGATAGATAGATAGATAGATAGATATTGACAATTTTGTTTGCTTCGCAGTCAGACATTGGAATCAAAAGAATCGAATTTATTTTTCAGCGCCTTTGATGCAAAATGAAAAAAAAAATAACGTTTTCTGGTAAATGCGTTGAATGTCTTTTCATTTAAAGGAAAACCCAGTTTTCCATATTCAGTCCAGAGTAATAGGCAATATTTCACTTGCAAGATCAGTGTGTGAAAGCCATGCAAATTTAGGCTACAGTGCCGTAGAAAACCTTACCCCAGACTCCGGATTTAATTTCCTTCCGACAATCATGAAATCTCTTAGAAAGTAGATTGCTTCCTACTGGTTCATTAATGATAATATTAGCCGTTTCCTTATAAGGAAACATTCGGTATTCATTGACCAAGCAGCCAGCGGTAATGACAGTTCAGATTTATAAACTCTTTCTACTCGCATTATTTACATTATTCGAAATGTTATCGTCATCTTCATTGCCATATTCACAACGTTTCGGCCGTTGGACATTCCGCCCTTCTTCAGGTAATTAGAATTTCGAACCAAACCGTTTTTTTTTCGTCCACCGGAGTAGATTGTTCTATTTCCTCTTCCGGATATCTCAATAACTTCATTTTAACTCAAATTTCCAAGTTTTTGGTTCACCACTGCTGTGGCCTGGTATTGAACTCAGAGCCCTTTGGGTCTATTTACTAGATCTAAGCAACGTCATTATCCACTGGGCCATATATCCTTTATATAAACGTTGTAAATATGTCAACGAAGATGGGGATAACAGTCCGAATAATGTAAATAATGCAAGTAATCCTAATACCTCATCTCAGAGATATAGACAGATATATAGAGAGACATAGATATAAAGGCCGGAGCGTACAACGGCCGAAACGTTGTGAACATGTCAATGAAGATGAGGATAACAATCCGAATAATGTCAATAATGCAACAATTTTATTACTTCAAAATTCCCAAGAAAATGAAATGTTGGGATAAAATATCCCATAAGGAGTTGATATGCCGTTAAATGAACAATAAATTAATACTCTGTAATCCTCTACCACGAGTGGCTCTTGGGACTTGCACAGAGTGAACGTTATTGTAAAAATCTATCTACTTGATGGAGGTGTTTGAGGAAAGGATATAAAGAAGGACTGGGACCGGGATCAAGGTATCAGAAGATGTCGATTGACATTACATTTGAATATTTGAAGATTATAGATATCGGGGAAACAACTAGAAGAAAGGGAGTTCCACTGGCGGGAAGTGCGAGATAAGAAGCTGTTGGAGTAGAAGAGGCGGTTACATTTAACTCTTTCGACAATGAAAGGGTGGGACCGAGATGTCAACATAGTAGCACGCTTAAATTCATGCAGTTGATGCAGTTTAATTTATTTTTATTTATTTATTTTTTTATTATGCATTTCCACCCCAAGAAAAGGGGGAGTGTCACTAACAAGCAAGGGGGTTACAGAGAATAAGAGTAAAAGTAAAGAGAGGTGTTTAAGGAAAGGATATAGAGAAGGAAGGGAATCGGGATCAAGGCTTCAGAAGATGTCGATTGACATTACATTTGAATATTTGAAGATTATAACTATCAGGGAAACAAGTAAGAGGAAGGGAGTTCCACTGTCGGGAAGTGCGAGATAAGAAGCTGTTGTAGTAGAAGAGGCTGTTATATTTAACTGTTTCGACAATGAAAGGCTGGAATCCAGATGATAACATAATAGCACGCTTAACTTCATGCAGTTGATGCAGTTTAATTTATTTTTATTGATTTTATTATTATTATTATTATTATTAAGCATTTCAACCCCAAGCGAGGTGGGAGTGTCACTAACAAGTAATGGTTACTGAGAGTGAGAGCAAGAGTAAAAAGGGGTGTTTAAGGAAATGATATAGGAAAAGACAGAGATCGATATCAATGCATGAGAAGATATCGATTGACATTAGGTATTTAAATTTCTCTACCTGATTGACTTTAGTATCTCTAATCTGTAAATTTCATTTTGGGCACATCTTTTTGCTGACGACCAAGCATTCTTTCTTCTTGTATTATATGCTTAGTCCCTTCTTCTCACTCTCCTTCGCTACATTCTATAGAAGGTTTTGTAGGTTCCTTCCATAAAGTTCTAAAAACGCTGGTCTTCGCCAACGCCTACAGACATCATTCGCCCCCCAGGCGATTTTTAATCACTGATCTGGGAAAAACGGTTGTAAACAAGTGAAAGTTGAGATATTTCTGAAGGAGTAGAGCGACATATATAAGATCCGTATGAAAGTCTCGAGTTAACAAAGTCTGCTTAAAAAAAGACTCGGTTTTAAATTAAAGTTTTAGTTTAGAAGCAATTTCTGGCGTAGGGTGAAAGTACCCTTAGTGCAGCCTATGTTAAATTTCCTGCTACCCGATACGAAATTTGAACAAATATGGATATTCGTGTTCGAGTGTCAAAAGGACGTTCTCTTTTCCCGTGACACCGCTATTATTTTAATTACCTTCCGCCCCGTGGAAAAGATTATTGTTTTAAAAATCTATGATTAGAATTGTAGTAAAATGAAGAAATTGAATTTATATATTTTCTTTTGTTCTGGGGAACTGACAATAAAAATATTAAACACTATTTATTTATTGGATAGCTAGCTAGCCAGCTAGATAAAAGCAACATATCTATCTATCTATCTATCTATCTATCTATATATATATATATATATATATATATATATATATATATATATATATATATATATATATTTATTTAGAAAAAATATTATGCTTTGTTTTACATAATTTTACGACGCGTGTTTCTGAGAGACCGAGAAAGAGGAATTTCTACATATTATTAAAATAATTAATTTTTCTTCAACAATGTGAAATTCAGATTGTAACACACAAACAGAGATATCTCATATCGAGAACATTTCAGAACATGAAGAAAAAATTAATTATTTTTTAATAATATGTAGAAATAAACCTGAAGATAGATAGAAACACGTGTCGTAGTAAAATTATGTAAACAAAGCATAATATTTTTTTAGAAATAAATCCATACAACCAAAACGATAATATACATACTTTTCTCTCGTTGGAACCACTATATATTTATTTTATATATATATATATATATAGAGAGAGAGATAGATAACAAAACAGAGACCTATATATATATATATAGAGATAGATAGATTGATAGATAGATAACATAGATAGATAGAGAGCGAAAGATATGAACAAACTTATATACATATATAGAATGATATATATATATATATATATATATAGAAAGAGAAATAGATAAAAGACAGAGATGATTATTTAAAGAGACTGATTTAGATAGATAGATAGATATATATACGTAATAGATAAAAGAGACGTAGATATATAGATAGATAGAAAGAGAGACAGACAGACAGACAGAGACAGAAATGTGAACAGAGATACACACAAATATATATATATATGTGTGTGTGTGTGTATGTGTGTGTGTGTGTATATATATATATAATATAAAAGACAGAGATAATTAAATTTAAAGAGGCTGATATATATATATATATATATAGATAGATAGATAGATAGCGGTACAGACGTACATTTGCACCAAAATGTTCCGAAATGTACATTGGAATGAAGAGAATCGAATCCATTTCTTCGCGCCTTTGATGCAAAATGAGAAAAAGAAAAAAAAAACAGAAGATTCACTTTGAATGCGTGAAATGACTTCTTTTTAAAAAGTACATTCGCCCACACACACACACACACGCACACACACGCACACCCCTATGCACGTTCCCCCGTCGAAATACAACACATGTATTCACACGGGAGTTATTTCAGACGGAATTGTCGCGTCAGCATTATGTCAACTCACACACTTTAGTTCTGGGACTGTATTTTCTTTACATTCATTAATGTGTATTTTTTTATAGATATCCTCCAAGATCAGCCCCCGATACAGACACTGAACTGGCGGGATGGCTACTCGTTCTATGATTAGTCCGTCTGTTAAACGTCGCTCTACGATAGGAATATCCCAAGGAAGATATTAAGTTCTTCAACATTTGTCTATAATTCTAAGATGAGGTATTGTAGCTATTTAGACTTTTTACATCGTTCGGAATGTTGTCGTCGTGTTTATTGCCATATTTCCGACGTTTCGGCCACTGTTCACTTCGACATTCTTCAGGTGATATACAGGGTGCTAACTGTCGCCATTTTATATTTTTACTCTAGCGCATGCGGGTTGTTTGCTTTTGATCGTGTCGACTACACAGTATAGTAGAGTCAGTTGGGCTCCATCAGTGAGGAAAAGAGAACCATGATGCAATTCACTCTACCAGATTCAGAAACAACTGTACTGCTTGGTATTCGTGCCGGGAGCGCCAAGCCGAAGATTTCAGAGTGTTTGGTTTTCAATATGAGGACTGTACAAAGGATTCGGGAAGAGTTGGATGAGTCTAATGGTGATTACGAAGGTGTTCAGAGTCCTTACATCTGGCCACCGAAACTCCCCAGGCTGCAACCCCCTTGATTATTATGTGTGGGATGCAGTTAAGATAATAAAATCCTTTTAACACTAAAGATTAACTGAAAGCAAGAATTATGGAACCATTCACCAACTTAAACAAGGAGAACGTCAAGAAAAATTACAGTAGATCCCGAAGACGTCTCTAGGCTGTGGTTGAAGCTAATGGCGATTTTATTGAATAAATTTAGTCTTTAGTATTTCAAGATATTCTTGTGTACTTTTGGTAAATATAGTTGTTAAAATGAGATGTCATTGAATAAATATCTATTAAAATAAGATGTTATTCAATAAATTTACTCTTTAGTATTACAAGTTATTTTTTATAGTTTAATATATCTGTTAATATGACATGTCAGTGTTATTTTCATTTTTGCATAATTTAGTACGTTGAAATTTCAAATCTAATTAGAAAAATCATGAGTGGCTGACCAAAAAAAAAGCGATGGAAAAAGCGATATCACCGTCCCACTAAAGGCTGAGGTTAAAATAATGGACAGAGAACATCACTGGAAAATACGAAAACTTAAGGAATCAGCGCATATGCTGAACCACAAAAATCTCCTAAGCCGACCAAGCATAGACATGATTACAATATAGAAATCAGTAGAGAAAAACAACGAAACAACAAATTGTGATATGAGCTCTGTTAAAAAAGGATTTGAGACATTAGTTTAATAAATCCCTAAAATTCATACACAGAGATCCGCAAGGACACATGGAACAGTGGATAAAACTTTGTTGATATCATCCAGTGACTTAGTCCAAAGATTTGTGAGTTCCATCCCTGGCCACAGGTGAACAAAAAAAAAGTGGGGGATCTGTCTATATTTCTGAGATGAGGTACTATGTACATTATTTACATTATTCAGACTATCGTCCTCATCTTTACCGCCATAATTATTACAACGTTTCGGCCGTTGTACGCTCCGGCCTTCTTCAGGTGGTTGGAATATCGAACTGATCCCTTTATTTCGCTCACTGGGGTAGACTGTTCTAGTTCCACGTGCCATGTCTAATGGATGTCAGTTATCAGTCTCCTGTTAATTCCCCTCTCCAAGTTCTCCACTGCCTTAACCGGGTATAAGAACCCACACTCACATGGCACAGTGGATAAAGGCGTTGGTTAGATCCAGTGACAGGACCCAAAAAGTGTGGGTTCAATAACCGGTTAAGGCAGTAGAGAACTTGGAGAGGGAAATTAACAGGAGATAACTGATAACTGACATCCATTAAACATGGCACATGGAACTAGAACAGTCTACCCCGGTGAGCGAAATAAAGGGTTCAGTTCGACATTCCAACCAACTGAAGAAGGCCGAAAGGTTGTAATAAATATGGCGACAAAGATGAGATCGATAGTCCGAATATTGTAAATAATGAAAAAAGGGGAGTTGATTTACAAAAGGAAATAACTGAAATTGAAATATCCATGACTCGTAGAACTACAACGGTCTACTCCAGTGGCGATATAAATCGTTCGGTTCGAAATTCCAACGTATATCCCCTGATGAAGGACGGAACGTACAACGGCCGAAACGTCGTGAATATGACAATAAAGATGTGGACATTGTTATTCATGATGACGGTCGTCTTTGAGTATAGAATCCATTGTCCTTGGCTTCTCTCATTATCAAAGACAAATTCCTGTCATCCAGGAATTGAATTAATTCAGCGAACACGGTCGCATTTCTTTCCATAAAATCATCATCTTCTTTTTTGTCATCTTGGCAAAGAATGATGTCATGAAGTTTTTGTATTCTAAGGTAGCCTAAGAACTTAGTTTCCCATAATTCAAACTTGGTTTCGTCTCCATTAAAATACAATCGTAACCTGGGCTCATAACCATTGTTATTCATGATGACGGTCGTCTTTGAGTATAGAATCCAGAGGTTAGCAGTGAATATTTCAAAGACAGTAGGAAAGCGTATTTCAGGTTAGCAGCGGATATTTTGGTAAAAGTAGCAGAGCGTAGTTCAGTAGTTCTTCCTTCTGTTCTTTCGCCTGAGAAGTTGGCACTGGACATTCGGGGAGTGAACAAAATGGCCGCCTTTATACACGACGGATTGAATATATTACGTCTTCTGATTGGTTAACCTTCTATTGATGGACTATAAAGTGAGTCAAGTCATTCGGGTTGGCTCACTAGTCTAATGTATCCAAAAATTGTAACAGACATAAATCCGGACAATGTAAATAGTGTAAAGAGTTAAAATACCCCATCTCAATAATATAGATATATGGAAACACTCGACGTTGATTGTTACTTGAAATTTATAAATTCATTTTTCTATAAAGGTTTCGATTCGAAATTTCACCTGAAGAAAGGTGAACCGTACATTACGGTTGTACACTAGGACTTTCTTCAGGATCTATCTATATTTATGTGATGTGGTATTGTAACTATTTACACTTTTGTGCAAATTAATTGCAACAACCGCTTTAGTTTCCTTTTTTCAACATAAAGTCATTTTTATAACCACTGGAGTGACAGGGTGTAATCGATTTCTATTTTTTTCCTCGGATTAGGTCATTTGCAGTAGTGTGCAGTAATATGAACCTATTTTCGGGGTACATGATGAGATTAGTTTCGCCTTGAAAAATATTGCGCCATCCGTGATTGCTTCAGATTTTCATCACGCTCAGACACTATTGTCTCGACTGTCGATTAGGTGTCCTACGGTCATTGCGATGGACGTTACTCCAAGGAAGCGTACGATGATTGTAACGCTGCACCTTACCAGTGAGCAAATCAAAGTATTATAGACTGGCCCGGAAACTACTGATTTAAATCCAATCGAGAATCTGTGGTCAATCTGCAAGGAACAACTTCGTCGATTGGACATACGAAGTACTAACATGTGCACTGGGTCATGTTTCATTGAAAAAATATGAAAAAAAATGTAAATAATAGCGGAACTATTCGTTTTGTTTCAATTAATTTGTACAAGAGTGTACATTGTTTGGACTGTTGCCCTCATCTATATTGCCATATTCACGACGAAAACAAGAAGCAGGAAGGGAGTTCAACAAATAATAATTGTGAGAAAAGAAACTGTTAGCATAGAACTTACGGTTATATCTATCAAATTCAACTATAAAATGATGAGACCTTTCTGCCAATCTAGTACTGCACTTCAATTCATAAAGTCTAAGTACCATAAAGGAAAGTTCGTCAGAATAATTACCATGAAAGGTCACCGAGAGGCAACCTAACGGCCATAGGTAAGTGACTGAATCCGAGACGCCAGATCAGGGTCAATAATATTACTGATTCTTGTTTGTATTTTATCAAGGAGCTCTAGATAAATAGCAGGAGCTTTGGACCACAGGCAGAAGCAGTATTTTAAGCATGGGGGAATAGTAAACTTATAAATATGTCAGATAAATTCTGGACAGAAAACCCGTCTAATACGACACAGTGAACCAATCTTCTTGACAGTTGACTGAGCAATGGATACAATATAGTCTTTCCACTTCATGTCAGCCGAGAACGTTAGCTCAAGAAGATGCAACGAGTCACTCTCTTGGAGGTCAGCATCAGCCATACCGAGAAAGGGATTCAATACAGTCTTCCCACTTCATGTCAGCCAAGAACGTTAGACCAAGAAGGTGCAACGAGTCATTATCTTAAAGGTCAGCATCAGCCATACAGATGGAAAACAGATATTTGCGATTTTCTGAACAAACTTAACAAAAACGACTCTTTTGTTTAACAAACAATCACAAGCGATGAACAATGTATTGTTTACAACTGTGTGAAGCGAAAATATAGCCTAAGGACAAAAACATTGATCGTGTTCACGACATGGTGATGGATGACTGGCGATTGACAATAAATCACACAGTCAATGCTATTAACATATTCCGTGATAGAGTTGCGAATATTCTGCACAATGAACTTGGCATGACAAAAGCTTAATACAGGATCAATAAGAATATAACATTTGTCACTTAGCTGATTGACGTTAGATTCAGAATCAAGGACTCCAGAGGTTCGTAAACGGACCCTCGAGCAATCATCCCGTCCACTTTTTGTACAGCCACCCTCATGCTGGGAGGTCTTGGTTATTGCGCCAATTAATACAATGTTGTATAGCCACTTGGTGGGGATGGTCTTGGACGACGACGTCAATTCGATAATAATGTTGCATCTAATCTCTCATATCCGGTGATCGCTAGTTGCTTTGAGTCCAGAGATAAAAGAACTTCAACACAGGGGATTTTAACTTAACTAGTTTATTAAAGTTGACGCATCTTCTAACTATCCAGTGGGGGTCGCTCTCCCTCCACTGGGGAGCCGTTTCCAGACACGAAAAAGAAACCGTCTACGGTGTTCGACGATTAAGACTCGACTCCCCGAAAACCTTTCTCTATCTCTCGTTCTCGCGCTGGCTCAGCCAATCAAAACCGACTTCCTTTATTTTGTCTTGTATCTGATCCCTGAGGTCAACGTCAGGGAGTCAGATTAGAGATACACTTTCTGCCTAAAAACAATGGTATGCAAAACTATTATTAGGTTGGTGCAAAAATAATGACGTAAGAATGTCGTTTTTTGACGTTAAAACATACGTATATTTAACACTCCTCAGGAGGTACTAGCAATGGATTGCTTATTTTTTCATTTTTGTTATTTTTGTATTAAATTAAAAGATATTTTGTGGACATTTTATTGGTGTAAAGTTTTTTTTTTCATTGTGTGTGTGTTATGGGTGCACACAGTGTGCGTGTGTGTAGGCTCGAGTGCACACGCGCTTGCCAGGTTTTGCCCGTATATGCGTAAGTGCAGAATGTTATTTCTCCTTTTCACTGTTTTTTTCTTCTTCTCTTTATACTCCCATCTTATTGGTTTCATGCCTTTTACACGCCTTCGTTTTTTAGGTGTGAAATATAGATATAGCAATCTTACATCTGGTGTGAAAGACTACTTTTTTGCTCTTTAGATAGATAGATAGATAGATAGAGATAGATAGATAGATGGAAAACTAGACTAGGATAGATAGATAGATAGATAGATAGATAGATAGATAGACTGGGATAGATAATAAACAGACTGGGATAGATAGATAGATAGATAGATAATAGATGATGATGAAAGAAAAGATAGATAGATAGATAGATAGATAGATAGATAGATAGATAGATAGATAGATAGAAACAGACTGGGATAGATAGATAGATAGATAGATAGATAGATAGATAGATAGACTGGGATAGATAAAAGATAGATAATAGATAGGGATAGATAGATAGAAAACAGACTGGGATAGATAGATAGATAGATAGATAGATAGATAGATAGATAGATAGATAGATAGATAGATAGATACTTGTAGTGATAGGAATTTAGTATGCATCCAATCTTCCAAATGGGTGTGGTCTGTCTCGCAAATCAATTTAACTTGGCACCAGGGATAAACAGGCAACAATCTTTGCTCGTAATCAGGCTGAAGTCATTGAGCTTCGTCTCACAAAAGGCAAGAGGCTCCGCCGCTTGTGCACCCAAGGGAAATAACTATCATCTCCCTCAGCAAACTCGATAAATATATGAGCTGGTTAATGAACAGATCGAGATCGATATTGAATGGCCGAAATAGATTGATATATACTCAGGGAATTATGGCAAAGCAGCCGAATTGATAATTCGCAAATTGAGATGATTGCAACCTGGCAAGGTTGAAAATGGGATTAACATTTTGTTGATACTATTGTCTCGAAATATGGAGTCATTGTGGAAGAATACCTAACTGAATTTTTCATTTATCACATATTTTTATCACAAACTATCATGCCATTCTACTAACAAGAAAAAGTCAACATCGTATATGTTGTTGCAATAAAGTGGGGAAAGAAACTAAGCAAATGAGATCAGATTAATTGATCAACAGATTGAACAAGTAAAAAAAACTCCCTTAAGTAGGTGATAAAAAAAAATGAGAGGGAAATCCCAGGCAAAAAAAAAATGCCAGAAAGCAAGACAAATTAGAAAATATTATATACACTAATTATGAACACTAATGGCTATGTCACAATCCTCATAAACACGTTGGACACTATTGTTAAGTAGGGGGTAATATGATTGACCTAAAAAAATTTGTTGCGTGCTTGGCGTATTTTTTTTTGCTTCAGGATCGCCTGCCGGAATAGTACTGTTTCGATAGGGTCTCTTGGGTGAACAAGTATAATGTTGGAAGACCCGAAACTTGTCATGACGCCAAGTCATAACATCACTGACGAGGTGATCTTGAGCACTCGTTGGAGTTTTTTCATGTCATATATATTAAAATAAGATTCAGAAGAGACAGAACATCTACTCGAAAAGAGAAAAGGTGTGTAGATTAAGTCAGCTAAAGAATCAGACATCTTAAATTATCTTCTATCAACAACTATTATAAAAAAAATATTTATTTTTATTCATTTATTTTATTTCTTTAAGGTTTGATGGGAATTAATAATGACATCAATTATCAAATGTTTTTATGTACATTATATTGTTGTGAAAATGTTACATTTATGAGGATGATATACGAATATCTTTCCTTAGGTGTTTATAAATTTTACACTGTTCAATTATTAACGTTAAGAAAGGACTATTTTAAATTACAAAATTGTACTTGGATTAAACGAAAATTACTTACATAATAATACATATTACTTATAATACATTCGTTCTTGCCGTCAACTTTGACGGCACAGGTACACTAGTTAAAATATATTATTCATGAACTTTTGCATGGTTTCTAGCTATATACACCATTTATAGATGAAGATTGTTACAATCTGTAAGTAAAAAAATATAGATATGTATAACTGAGGAGGAAGTGACGTAAGTCATTAACGATTGGTTAGCAGTGGCATTCATTGCGTGCTTGGCGTATTTTTTTTTTTTTTTTGCTTCGGGATCGCCTGCCGGAATAGTACTGTTTCGGTAGGGTCCTTTGGGTGAACAAGTATGATGTTGGAAGACCCGAAACTTGTCATGACGCCAAGTCATAACATCAGTGACGAGGCGATCCTAAGCACTCGTTGGAGTGTTTTCATGTCAAGTAGGGGTATTATGCTGTCTTAGTAGTGCACCACTAGCAGTGGTTTACCTACTTCACGCCGCTGGCGAGTATTGTATTTTGTTGATGTTATAAAGATTACCATTTCATTTCCAACCTCCATTTTGGTTACTCCGCATTCAGTAACATTTTCTAAGTTAAAACACTAACATAGATGACATTATATAAAGATTCCAATATAGCAGAAAATCTTTTAATGAATTTAGTTTTATTACCAAAAGTAAATCAATGATAATCTTATTAATCTATTTGTAATAGTTAAATCTTTGATAAACATTTTGGTGGCATTATTGTAAATGATAAAAAAATTAAAATTTCACAAAAGGTTTAAAAGCTTAACCAAATCATATGATAAAAAAAAACCCTTTATGAAGTCGTCAAAAAAAAAATTGTAGTTCAATACGACGTATTTATATACAAACAACACATTTAGATAAAAAAAAAGAAAAAACAATCTTTAGACATTTAACGGCGTAACAATATTGCCAATAACCCTATGTCGCTGAAACAGACTAGACGATATGCGTTGTTTAATGAATGTCAACATTCGCTTTAAAATAGACACTTGACTTGACCTCTTTCGGAAATAACTAATATGTCGATGCCTATTGTTAACCATTACGCCTCTTACTGAAATAATTGCTTCAGCCGTTTCCATAGTAAATAATCTTACGAATGAATATGCTTATAAAGATGCGTAAATTTCAAGATTAGTTATTCCAAAAATTTCGCTTGAGGATGAAACAGAGCTTGATACTTTAATTCAATTTAATTTTAATAATTATATTGAAGTTTTTGGCTCCTCTTTTTGAAACATGAGAACTCTTATGTAGCGAAGGAATCATATTTTTAAAAAATAATTATAATTTAGGCTCCACTTATGTATTGAGCACTGTTTTTTAAAAATAAAAGCAAAAATACTAAAGAACTTCGGATTATTTACCTAACGTGTTCTTTCCTATTTTTCTATGCATTTGAACACACACACACATACACACACACACACATATATATATATATATATATATATATATATATATATTAACTGATTTAATATGTTTTTTTCGCTACACAGTTCTAACCAAGCTTCGAATTTAATTTTGTAATTAAATTAAAGACATTAGTTCCATTTCATCCTCAAGCGAATTTTGGAGTAACTTATTTTTAAAATTACTGGGTTTTAAAAGCAGGCAAAAATCATAATAGTCTGAATGAATGGACTTTTCTGTATCATTGGAAACTGTAAATAATGGTTTTTGCAGTGCCTTTAAAACCAAGTAAATTTTAAAAAAAGTTACTCCAAAATTCGCTTCGGGATGAAATGGAACCAATGTCTTTAATTTAATTACAAAATTCGAAGCTTTTAGTTTCCATTTTTGAAACATGGTTAAAACTGTGTAGCGAAAAAAGCTATATTTTAAATCAGTTAATTTATAATATTAATTCTCTGTAAATTTAGATTGAACACTATTTTGTAAAAATATCTATAAGAACACCGTATTACATATCTTTTACTGTCCTTTCTTTATATATATATATATATATATATATATATATATATATATATATATATATATATATATATATAAAGGGTGTCCGTAAAGTTCAAACTTTAAAAAGTTTATAACTTTATTTGTATTCGCGATAGAAATAATTTGTAAATCTATATTTTTTTAGGTTTTATTGAAAGTTTATTTAAGTTTCCACATGTCCTCCATCATTAGCAAAACAAAAAGGATAATACGATTTTGCAGTTCACGGAAAACATTTGCCAACTGATTTACAGTAATGCCTGAAATGACATTAGTTATTTTAGCTATACTAAAAACTAGGTACATTAAACTTTATAACATTTTTTACAGATTATTTCTATCGCAAATAGAAATAAAGTTATAAATTTTTAAAGTGCACACGAACTTTATGGACACGCTATATATATATATATATATATATATATATATATATATATATATATATATATATATAGTCGGTGTAAACGGTGTAGAGTGATTTCAGAGAAGACAATGTACATAAATCTGATATTACTGTCTTCAATAATCGAAGAGCTAGGGAAGTAATAACACTAAAAGTTATAAATAAACATTTAAAAAAACACAGAACGTAAGTACTTTCGGGAATTAAATTGTCACGATATGATGTCTGGTTTGCGCATGCGTCAATTTCCAGACAAGAAGTAGTGTATTCGGTTGGAAAAAAAAAGAAATTCTAAGATATTCAATCTTTCAAAAACGCCTTTCTTTCACATCAGTCCGTCCTTTTGTTGTTGTTGCTATTATGGGTTATTTTTTTTTTAATTCATTCTTTTCTTTTTTTCGTTTGATGATTTTCATTCTTCAAATCTTAATGTGAGTCTTTATATAAAGAAATCTGCTGCAGTTATACATATTAGTACCAAAGGGATGAAGCGTTTTTTTTTGTATTGTGTGTGTGTGTGTGTGTGTGTGTGTGTGTGTGTGTGTGTGTGTGTGTGTGTGTGTGTGTGTGTGTGTGTGGCGAGAGAAAGGCTGTGAATGTAAATCTTGTTAATTTTTCGATCGATTACATCATAGATGTTGAGGTTCAATGCAACCGGGTTTCCTCAACTAAATATGAAGTAAACACGGTGGAATTTTAAAATCTTCAATAAGGACAGAATGGGCGAGGGGCGATGGTTAAATATTCGCCATTTTATATCTTTATTTTCGCGTCCTTTATTTTTGATTTTGTCGTCGTCAGGGTATAGTAGGGTCAGTGTACTATTACTCGATTCCCCCTTTATATATATATATATATATATATATATATATATATATATATATATATATATATATATGTATATATATATATATATATATATATATATATATATATATATATATATATGTGTGTGTGTGTGTGTGTGTGAAAAGTATATAGAAAATAGGAAAGAACTCGTTAGGTAAATAATCTAAAGTTCTTTTAGTAATTTTATTATTTTTTTAAAAACAGTGCTCGATACAAAAGTAGAGCATAAATATAATTATTTATTTAAAAATATGATTCCAACACGCTACATCAATGTAGCGTGTTGGAATCATATTTTTAAATAGATAATTATACATATATATATATATATATATATATATATATATATATATATATATATATATATAGGTCTGCTCTACTTTGCATTGAGCACTTTTTTAGTTAGTTGATTACTCGTATCGGGTTTTTTTTTTTGTTTGGGCTTTGGGCCTGTATGCTGTATGATTATTTTCGACAGACGTTCATGTTCCTAGCTCTTTCATTTTTTTTAAAGCTTTTTTTTCCTTCGAAATTCATTTGATCATTAGCAAGTCAAGAAACCGAAGGTTTTCCACGACAAGTGTAGTTACCTATATATATATATATATATATATATATATATATATATATATATATTCGTTGCTGACTGTCTGATTTTAAATCAGAAAATGTTTATATATAAGATGAATATACAGACAAGAGCCGTTTTTTTTATCCCAACAACCATAATAATAGGGGTAACTATATAATCCTACCTGAAACCTCTATAACAGTCACCATCGAAAATAAATTGTTCAACCTCAACCTAAACTTCATCCGGATTGGATCTTCCAACAAGATAATCAACCTAAACAAATTGCAAAATCTACAAAAAAATGGCCTGCTGAAAATAACATAAATATCCTGAAATGGCCAAGTCAGTCCCCAGATTTAAACCGAATCCAGAATTTGTGACATTATTTGAAAATTCAAATCCAAATCCAGAGCTCAAACAAACATCCTGGATCTGAAGACCATATGTGAAGAAGAATGGAACAAAATACCAACTAAAATTTACAAACCATTAATTGAGAACTACATGAAGAGGTTAGTTGTTGTACAAGTGATTAATGGCTATTCTACAAAGTATTAAATGAAGATTATATATTCTTTTCTGTATTGTACGAATACTTTTTTCACCCATTAAAATGGCTAAATGGGATTTATTTCTATTAAATCAATTTCTTTCTGTTTTCTATGCATTTTTAGTTATTAGGCATCTGTTTACAGTTAATTAAAAGTATGTTTATTCATTAGTTGGAAACACAATAATTCAAAAAATTGTATGTGTACGAATATTTATTTCCCCCAGCTGTACGCCATATTAGATTGTGCTAAATTCGCTATCTCTCGTTTGTGTCGTTATGACGATGATGAAGAAATGTACGCCACCCCCGTAAGTAGGATAGTTAGCCATTTTAATTCGCAGTACCAGAAATATGTCGTAACACAATATTCCTTTCACATAATCCCTTACAATATAGCCTTCTGCTGTATTACGCTAATCTTAAATATTATTTCATGTTTCCCACCAGCGGTAGGATTCGCCGATAAAAGCAATCATCTTGAATACGAATTTGCTTACTAACATTTTTTTTATAGCTGAATTTAAACGATTTCTGAAAGGGAGCAAAAAGTTGAGATTCTAATCAATATAACTTCTATTTGAAATACACCAGAATATTTTGTTTACTGGAAATAGTGAATTTAATCATTTAGCTTTCAATTAAATCTAAAAAGAAAGCCTCAAGAATGACTTCTTCTGTTTAAAATTTCATTTTAAACCAAGGTATCGAAACTGTGTAGAGGTAACTCTAACTAAAGCAATTTAAATTATGTAACGAATGCACATCACTCGTTGGGACATTTCGAAGTCTATAATTAACTGAATATTTTAATTCGACATTATTTCTAATTATAATGAAGGTTATATTTTGTGGAAAGACGTGTGAGCAGACATCACTCTATGAGCTATCGAAACATGTAAAGTATCACATTAAACGTTATATTTTAGTGGGTACACGTATTTGGGTAGATGCCCTGTTTTTTAAAAGCACAGTTAATTAAATCTATCGACTTTATCGTATTTAAGAATCATAATAGAAAATATATAGCCTATTATCGAATGCACGGGATGGTAAATGTAAGGCAACTTGTTTAAAAAATAAAGGGCGTCAATTCAAAGACATGTATCTATTAAAATATAAAATTAAATCTGTTATGAATTGTCAGATTAAAAAAATACATAAATTACTTAGAAATTACTACATTAAATTATATATATTAAATTATATATATTTTTCCGCCCCAAAAATTTCGTTTGAAGATGGAACAGCGCTTAGTACTTTCATTCAATTTAATTCAAATAATTATATTGAAGTTTTCGGCTGTTGTTTTGAAACATGAGAACTCTTATGTAGCGTGTTGGAATCATATTTTTAAATAAATAATTATATTTATGCTCTACTTTTGTATCGAGCACTATTTTTTTAAAAATAATAAAAAAATACTAAAAAGAACTTTTGGATTGTTTACCTAACCAGTTCTTTCCTATTTTTTACACACACTTACACACACACACACACACACACACACACACACACACACACACACACACACACACACAAACACACACACACACACACACATATATATATATATATATTACTTAGGTGACATTCGCTGAGAAACTGAGTGAGTAGCGACGCTATATCGACTCTAGTTTGTGTCTTCTTCGCCACTGAGGCCCGTGGTACAGTTGGTATGACGTTTGCGGTGTATCGAAACGGTTGGTGTTTCGACTCTCGGTAGTGGATACGCACTACTGACGAGTCCCAGATATGACGACACGACCGTCCAGTGTTACTTAAATAAATACTTGTCTCTTTTAAAATAACGTATAATTTTAAATATTTTTTTTATTTTATATATATATATATATATATATATATATATAAAGTACTCGATATCAATGGAAATATAAATGTGAACATTGAAGTCAACACTCAGACCCAATCTATATATATGAAACAGCCTGTCACCTATGAGTGTGGACTTCAATGTTCACTTTTATATTTACATACGCTCTTTGATATAGCGCCCTTAAAACTATATTTCTTCATATATATATATATATATATATATATGTAAGTGATTATTTTGGGGATTTA